TGTTTACAGGGTAACCGGGGGGGAATAATCAGTCGATAATTTAGTGTAGAAGGGGATTATCAATTAATTCGATCAACTGCAAATGAAAAGGGGGGAAGGAGTGTCATAAGAATGTTACCGAGCCTTGTTGGTGTTTTAGGCAAATTTTATGGGGAAACAACCTAGAATTCACCGGCCTCCCCAGACAAAAATAATGAACGGTTCCTAAGTGTTGTGTGGATGGCACGCAGTTAAAAAATATCGAAAAGTCACCATTTTCACCAGCTTAATCTTTATCTCAAAAACTCAATATTAAATACGGAGCTTGTAGGTTGTGTAGCTAATCTGTAAAAACTTAAACCTAAGCTCAGGTGATCTAGAGATCACAAAGGCAGAATTAAACCCCTTGAATTTCTTGATCACTTCTTTGTCACAATGTATGCTAAAGATTGAATGCGGCCACTGTAGGAGTTTGAAGGAATATGATCAAACTTCATTGATCGCAAACAGTCAGGAGCAAGTGCTATAGTAAAAAAAAAAAAATACGGGGCTTATTATCTGAAGCTGTCAAATCTGTTTGCTAGGGCGGTTTGGAAGGAAATATTCGGACACGTCTATCGCAGATCGCAGATTCATGCAGTGAATGTGCGCCGAGCCAACTAACGGGCCGGTCATTATTTATCACCTAAGAGGGGGTGGGGGAGGGGCGGAGGTGGAGGATTTTTGTTTGTGTCATGATAAAAATCATATGATCCCCCCATGAGGCGCTGTATTTTTTGGTTTCCTCCCTCTTTGGCAGTCGATTGGTTCTCAATTTTTTCAGTCCCTCTTTTCACACTGTCGACGACAACTGATCCCCCCGTTTCCCCTGAAAACTGTTTGATCCTCTTCAAAATACTCCAGCCCTACCCCCTCCCTGTAAATAATGATTGGTTACTGAAGGAAATAAAAGTTTAATTTTTTGAAATTTATCCATTTATTCACGCATTAAATTACAAAATTCATGGCTCCAGTTAAAAAAATATAACGATGCAAGTTCAGTGCAGGAAAAAGATAGCCTGTGGAGGTAGGAAAATAAGCCATTTACCCCATACGAAGTGAACTACCGTAAGATCTAAGAATACATCAAAAGACTAAATTTATTGTTGAGATTAATCCATTTCTTCCCTTTTTATGCCATTTTTTATTTTTTTTCCGATCCGATCCAAGTACACTGTTTACGTAAGAATTCGTTCAAAGTTGATCCGAAGCCAAAGTTTATCAAATAGGGTTTGGTTAGACACAAGTGCTGCGTGTTAAAACATTTAATAATGTTCTATACATTATAATTCAGCGCGTTATAAAATTTGTATGCACACTAATAATAAGCCTTCATTATTTTTTTAACTTCAAAAGCGGTTTTGATTTGGTTCTCTTGAGGTTAAAACATCACCTACGTCAGGAGATTATCACAGTTTATAATCTCTTGCCAATGTGTTTCTTTTTATAACAGACCCAAACCACACGCTGGTGCAGCTACACGTAAGTCAGGAAGGAGACTCTCGTTAATTGGTGAACGTTTGCAACAGGAAGTCAGTCATGGTCCATCTCCAGGAAATTGTGAAGAATAACATTGCGTCTAAATAAAAGAAACTTTTTGTCTTAAACACAGCCAGCGAAATTACTAAGGAATTTCCTTCACTGACGTATTTTATCTAGTTTTGTACATATACAGTTAATAATGAATGAAAAATAAACAATATCGAGCAAACAACTCTCCCTATCTACTGAGTGCAAAACTGAGTTTGTTCAAATAACTTGCTGGCCAGCAAGATATCCTTCCTTAAACTTGCTGCACCCCAATCAAGAAATTCAGAAAGGAATAATTAATGCAATCAAAAGGGCATGAGGTAAATGACGCTCTCAGTTTGGTGAATGCCTCGTTCAAACTGTCCGATCAAAGGGAATCGCATATCAGATGACTCTAAAATGCTTGTGGTTTGGTTGATGGTTTATCTGCCACTCCATTACATAAGTTATCCAAAATATAACTAACATTACTCCAGTGCTGAAATATTAGTGGTTGCGAGAGGATTGAAGTAGCGCGCGAGAGAGAGAAGCCAGGCGAATAAGGATGGTAGTCCTTTAAAAAATATAAGATGATCTCCGTGTTGTTTCTCTAAGAAAGTTACTTTATCTTCTTTTTGATGTTATCAACTGCCTCCCAAGAGCAATCTTTGACAGTCATACTTTGCAAGTCTGCCAGTGCGCTTTTCAGCTTTTCAGTTTTTTCACTCGTTTGCAGAGCTTCGGATTCGGCTATTTCTAACTGAAAAAATTTAATTACATTCTGAAGGTCAATAAGAAGGCCAATGTTCTCGTTTTCATGAGCGGATGGTTCGGCTATAACACGCATGCGCGAGAGCTGGTTGTTGGGTGTTTTGTTTACCTCACACGGGATAGTGGACATGTGTGTTTCGATCTTGTGCACTTCAGTCAAAGCCTCGTCATACTGGCTGCCGTTAAACTCAGTAATTTTCCATTCTCCTGTTTTGGACGAGTAATGGTGGATCACAACAAAGCCAGTTTGGCTCGAACTTTTTTTAATACTTTCCATCTTTTTTGAAATCGTGAAGAACAGTACTCTGGCTTCAATCTCCAACTTGTTCTCTGTTCTTGATTGCTCTCTAGGAAAATCAAACCGAGGAATCCATGAATTACCAATTTTGAATTAAGAGTGATATCATTCATAGCAGCAATATTTAACTGAGGTCAAAGTTTATCGCCTACCTCAAAGACAAAAGAGGTCGCAGCTTGCAGTTTTCAGGGTCCTCTCTTGAACTCTTCCTTCTTTCTCGCAACAGAGGAAGAGAGAGGACCTGGGAACGAGGTTGTTTTGGGGCGAGATGACGTTACAAGTTCGACCGGCAATGTTTGCTAAAGGGTTAGAGTGGATGGCGCGGATTGAAGGCGGGAAAAGGCGAGAAGATTATTACCCCACCCCTCCCATTCCCTCGGCCCTTCCTTTTGACCGTCGCTCAACCTCTTGATACAAATTTCTCTCTCTCCCAGTCTTTCACTGCTGTAAAAATCAAAGATGGCAGCTATACTTTTCAAGAAAATACTGAGCACTCGCCCCGCAAAACTTACGCCTGCTTTGTAGCTATAAGCTGCTACGGCCCTCTTCACATTACGTCAGGACCCCATGTTCTCCTCTGTTACTTTGCCGTCCAATTTCCTTCAAATTAACTGAATTCACCATCGTGACGATTACTTGGCCGGACTGTCTGAGTAGTCACGCAATGACGTGACTTTTCATACACATGGATAAGAAAGTGGTCTCTCTAAGTGAGTTAGCCGTGCCAATAATAGTCACATTGCACTCTAATAATCCGATATTACAATGCATTACTATAATCAAGGTTTCAAGTTTTACAGGGAAGCCTTTTGAGGTGTAAAATAATCGAAACTCTTCGCAGGACTGTAACGAAGATTGTCGGTCAGTTATAATTCGTTATTTGTAGTCTATAATAACGCAGCGAAGTCTACAAACAACCGTTCTGAAAGGACTAGAAACCGCGCTGGATACTAGAGACTCACTTGCCTACCTTTCCACTTCCGTTGTCACGATTAAAATTTCCTCCAAGCCGACTTCTAGTCCCTCCATCTTAAATTTCATACCCTTGGCATGATAAACTAGTCCTTCCTTTCCACAGACGAGGAAGCCTTTTCGTGCATAAACTGAAGAAGAAAGAGAAATAATTTCTCTCTCATTGGTTGTCTCTTCTCTTTGCTGATATCTTATCGAAGCAGCGGCGAGACCCTTCAGAACAGTCGCAGTGCCGCTAACGGCGACGTTCAACAGATAATTCTTGACTTCTTTGTTCCGATGGTAATCCGAAGAATACGAACACAATGGCGAGTAAGTAAATTGTTTAAAATCCTCCTGAGCTTCGAATTGCAATGGAACGCCGTCACACCACATTTCCAAGCTCGATTCACGAACAAGGTGGCCAGATGTTTGGAGCTTCTGATGGTGAGCTTCAGTCGCCTAATAGTATGATGAGCGTTTTGACGTTATCATTTGCATGCGAAATATTTGCAAACCGGAAATGACGTATTTTCCGATTTCCCTTTCCACCTGCCTTTCCTCGGAAATGCAAATTTTGTATCTGGCGTGACATTTCGGGAAAAAAAAGCCGGTCCAGTTCAGCGAAACAAGTTAGCTGAGATCACCGAGAAACTAAGGAACTTTTAAGGCAGTTCTTAGAAGTGAGATGGAGGAAGTTGTAAGGTTTAAGGATAATTACGGGAAGGAGTCAGGTGGTGCTATGTTTCAATATTTATGATGAGAGGCTTTGCAGCAAACAAATTAAAGGTTGGGAGAAAACTCCACGAGTAGGTGACAAATACAACTCTGTAACCGAAACTTCTCTATCAATGACACTTGTGTTTGTTGTTTACTTTATTGCCGTGAAAAATGTTTTCTTGATCGACAGACATGATTTCACCTTGTGACACTTTCTAGGAAAGAGTATTTTGCTTCTGACCTGAGCTCTACCACTGTTAGGTCAATATCGTGACGTAGAATCCTGCGCGTTCTATAAAGGCCGGAACTCGCGGATTTTGCAATTGGAAAGAGGCCGCCGCTTTAGCCAGCTCCCTTCACGCGACTTTAACGAAAGCAAACATCGCCTGGATTGCAGCCTATTACCCTTGTCCTGAATACTTTCAGGTTATCTTCGATCTTCCTCCACTGGTAAGTTGCAAAGCGGCTTAAATTTATTCACATATTACGTTCTATTTATATTATTTTTAATCGTTGGCTTAACTAAAGAAGTGAAATTGGCAGGGCGCTGTCCAATCTGCTTTCTTCCCTCGTTGCCTTTCTTGAGTGATAGTAGCCAATTTATGATATATTCTGGAGTCGGTGTTGCTCCAGTATCGATCTCGTAGATCATCAGAACTTGCGTGTACCTTTGCTCTAAAGCTCACAAATTAACTCTTAAAAGTGAAGATGAAGCCGGCTACGTGAAATATACTTGCATGTGCGTCGGTTGTCCCCTCAGCGCAGCTGATGCTATAGAGACTGGCTCTTTCATGCTATAGAGACTGGCTCTTTCACTGAGTGAGACCTTTGAATAACTCGCTCCTGGTTGTACTACGTTGCTTCGTTGGACAGTAGTAGGAACACGTGGCATGTTCGTCAACTCACAGGCTTCTGGCTCCATATAACCTGGAGATCTCTAACGTGAATGCGTAATGAATTACAAGCGGCCTGAATCTTTTGAGGATACGGTAGACCTTCTCGAGTGTACCTTGCCAAAACATTTTTAACGCCCTACTTGAAGCATAACTACCATAAAAATGGAAAGGTTATGAAATGCACTGATTCGGCAAAAATTATTTCTTTTTAGCTTGATCTAGTTGTAAACCGAATGGGGCACGACAATAAGAAACATACCATGTTTCTTGAGCTAATTAATCGCATACGAAATGTGACCGTTTAACTAAAAATTTTGCACATTTTCAATCAGAGGGGTCGGTCTTCAAAGCCGTATGGTGGATTTTTTTTAAAATCTATAGGAATTTCAACGCTTTGCTTCATTTCCCTGGCTTGAAAACTGCATCCTCCATCTGATTTAAATTGACTACCTGGGTATCGATTTGAAGCTTTCCAAAATCTATGTGTTGTGCCATTTGTAATATAAATGTTCTGCAGTATCTGTACTTTCCGAAAAATAGGAAACCCCCGAAGTATACACTTGAACCAACCCTTGATCTTGTGACTGTTAAGTGATAGGATTATATTTCCGTCTCATCGGGTAATCATGTGATAAAAAAAATTCCCCGAAATTGAAAAATATCTCTTTGGCCTCGTCCCTCTTCCCTCGCTCTTGCAGCGTCACCTTAACAAAATTGCTTCAACGAAATCGTTTTCTCGTCAACATACCATGGCGGAAATGTAAGGCTCTCTAATATGTAGGATAATAGGCGCCCATTGTGGCGGCCACGAGGTTTTGGGCTCCTCTTTTATTAGCTATTTCATTCAACCGAACTCAAAGCTTCACTGAATTTTACAGCTACATATTCTTCAACGAAGATTACATCTCTCCTAGATTTCGGAGAGGAAACGGTTCGGTTGGTAGCAACGAATTTGGAACCTCATTGTCAAGTCGTAAATTTTACTCAAGAAGGGCTTACCGCCATGGCAGAATTCGACGGCCTAATACGAAATGGGATAAACATGTCGGTCAGTACAAAATGCAGACTGCAGACTGCAGATTGCAGACTGCAGACTGGGTATAAAATGCAGACTGGGTATAAAATGCAGACTG